TACATATATATTATATATGTATATATATATATATATATATATATATATATGTATCTAATGCAGACGTCAGTGAGAGTAAAATACCTGGGTGACGGGATTTTCGCCAGGACGATAGACAACGTTGTGCATCGGTCGTTTGCGGCCGACGTAATTCACACAGACAAATTCGAGAAGGCTTGCATAGATGAAACACATACACACGCCATCCCAAACGTTCATGGCGGTCAGATTTGAAACCACCGGCAGCGTTCCTCGGAAGCCGTTAGACGTTGTGAAAAAATTCAACATCGTCGTTACGCCTGAAACAAATTTTTATCATTATCATTATTATTATTATTATTATTATTATTATCATCATCATTTGAAAAAATAATAATTCCTCCCTTCTTTGTATTTTTAACAATATTTCTTATTCAATGTTCTATGGGTTTCTTTTTTTTTCTTCACATTTTTTATTTATTAAGGAAGAATAATCAACGATAGTGGAAACGAACACAGTCAGGTATTAAAATATTTCCTGATTAATAATGAAAAAACTACTAGAAAGCACGAATCCACTTTCTATCCATTAAATTTTAACGTTCTAAACATTATTTCTCAAGGGAATGATCTGTTAGTAAGACGAAAGAGAGAGAGAGAGAGAAAGATAGAAAAATAGAGAGGTAATATCCAATATGATGGTACATTCGCCGTAAAACTTTCTTCTTTACAACGTCGTAGCATTACTGTTTAGAGGAAAATGAACCGTAAAGAATACATCGTCGAGGTTGGCCGAGTTTAGCCACTTAGGATCGATGGATTATGACGTCACACTTTCTCACTTTTTCTTCTTCATTTATTTTTCAACATTGCCCATCTATCGGGTGTGTCACTCTCTTAATTCGAACTAAATAATAACGATAGAATAAAAGTGTGAAATATTTTTATATATTATATATATTTATATATAATATTTAATTAATATATTTATATATAATATATAATATATAATATATAATAATTATATCTGAGATATTGTCTATATAAAAATATCTAATTCAATATATTGTATATATTTATAAAAGTATCGCA